GGTTCCTTCAAATGATTCAAATGTAAATTGCAAATTCCGATGAAATGAATTCAGTGCTTTCAGGATTCTGTCAAAGTTTACAGGCTTAGCAAGGATAAGTGTGTCATCAACAAAGCGTGTGTAATACTTGATAATACCTTCATCTTCAAGCTTAAGGATAATTGTTTCCTCTAGTTCAGTCATAAATATATTGGCTAAGACTGGTCCTAGTGGTGATCCCATGGAAACGCTATCAGTCTGTTGGTACAATTCATTATTACATGAGAATATGGTTTTGGTGCAAGTGTCCCTCAGTAGCTTGCGGAGGGTGTTCTTCTTTAAATCAGTGGATATCAGGTTTTTGTCATAGACTCGATGAAGGATTATGTCTATAGCCTTAGTGATAGGTACATTTGTGAACAATGAAACGACATCAAAGGAAACAAATTTAAATCCATCAGTACTCAAGTGAGAACGGATGTTCCTAATACGCTGAGCAGCATCAAAGGAATCTTTCAACACATAATCATTGGTAGTGAGTGGATTAAGAAGGTTGGCTAGAAATTTGGCAACAGAATAATATACAGTACCATTAGTGTCAATAATTGTTCTTAGTGGTGGGATGTCCTCAAAGTCTTTGTGGGTTTTAGGAAGTCCGTGGGCTCGTGCTGGCATTCAAGTTCTCTATTCAAATTCATGGACAATTACATGATGAGTGGTTATGGTTATGCGGATGATACCCAGTTGTTGCAATTCTTTTCTCCCAAACTGTGTCATCAAACTCATTCATTGCAAAATATTGAAAAATGTGTTGTTTCAGTTCAAGCATGGACGTCGAAACACTAGTTGAATCTTAACGCAGGAAAAACAGGGGTCATTTTGTTTGGTTGTCAACAGCAACTGGATAAAATTCACATTGACCACAATAAACTTGGTGACGACCATAAGAAAATTGTTGACAATGTCTGTAGTCTGGCTGGATTCAAGATTGTCTTTTGGACTCTCACATCAATCATATTTGTAAGAAGGTGAATTATAGCTTATATAATTTACGTTGTATTTGAAAATATCTGAATCAAGGAGCCACCGAGTGTTGGTTCATTCATTAATTACATCTCACCTAGATTATGTCAACTCTGTAATGTATGGTATGTCTCAATCCGCGTTTGATAAGTTACAGTGTTTACAGAATAACGCAGCTCGGTTGGTTCTGGGATTGCTTAAGTACAACAGGATTACACAGTCACTAAAAGAATTGCATTGGCTTCCCGTTTGTGCACGTGTGGAATTTAAGATGTTGCTTTTGGTTTTCAAGGTGCTGCAGAACAAGGCACCAAGCTACCTGAGTGACTCGATTGTCAGATCCTGTTGTGCTTATGACTTGCATAGTCAGGATACCTTGAGTCTTCAAGTCCTCGATCACATAATAAACTTAACGACAGGGCATTTGCTATTGCTGGACCGAGGTTATGGAATTCTTTGCCAACCCAGTTGAAAGATGAAAACAAGTTCAAGCGTGCCATCAAGACATACCTTTTCAACCACTTCATGCCGTGGCATTTTTCAATGTTGATGATGCTGGGCCGGCATGACTATCATTTTTTCCTATCACTATCATGACTATCAATCCTTCAAAAATTCATCATTTCATGTAAAGGTCGTTTATAGCCCCACAAAGTAATCTTTCAGCACTACTCTCAGTTGACAGGTGACCTTCATTGACGCCCGACTATTTCAGCCAGGCCTGCAGCCTTGTAAAAAGAGCCCAGATCGTGCGGTGTTATGTAACTTTCTTTTGTTCGCAAACCTGGCTCAGTGCACTGCTGACCTCTTTTCAATAGGGGCCAAATTAGCGTGCAGCAGTGCTATGTGGCTCATCCCTGCGGTGGTGGAGCGCTTTTGTCCCCGGTGGTAATTCGCTCGCTCTCAATGCCCCAAACCCTGTATACAGTACTGTATACAGTTTCATAACAAGGCTGGATTATCACCACTTTTGAGAGTAAAAATGTCGGTGATGCCCAGCAGCCTGGTCTTTTGTTCGGAGTACGGTCTTTTATGACAGGGCCCTGTGTCCTTTGTCTGAGTTCGGAGACCCTGGCCACGCATATAAACCTAACGTCAAATACAGTAAAAAGATAATCGATGACTCGCGGTGTCGTGTTGCTGGTAGCGACGTTTCGGCTGCTGGTGCTGCTAGCCTTCATCAGGCAACTGAAGTCTGGATGCTGCAGAGTCCGCTATATACTGCTGGACCACGTCCTCCGTGTGTCCCCCGCCGTGTATTGCGGACGTAGTACGGGTGACCACAGCGGGTGTCGCACGCTCCACTCCATGGGCGTGAGGGGGCGTGTCCTAACGTCTCCGATTCCGGAGTCCCCGGCAGGAAGTGGTTAAAAAAATGTTATAATATAGTTTTTTCGGAGCTTGTCTTCGAAAGAACAAACTTTGAGTCCGGGGAGTGAGTATGGTGAATGAATCAGACTGGCGCGCTGCACGCACAATTAACCAATCAAGGGCTGCATTATGCGAATGTATGTTTCCTGCGCAGGCCAGTTTGCGCGCGAAAATGTCACATTTCCTTCGGGTCAACCACCATTGCCGCACGTAGAAAAAATAAGCTTACGGTTACTCGCTGGAAAGTCGTAATAAATCTGCTGTTCCTGAGCCTAGTGACGGCTAGTCGTTTCTTAGGATGCGGCGAGGGAGAGGGAAGAAGCGGAGAGCGTCAGAGGCCTCCAGGAGACCGTCAACGACGAAAATTTCCGTCATGAGTGGGGCTCGTAGCTCGGCAGCTTCGCGACACACTCGCGCTCAGGCGCGTGCAATTCAGACACTTCTCGGCCCTCAAGTTCTTGCGGACAGCAGCGGGGTTGCACAGCGCCCTCCTTCGGTGAGACAACAGCCGCCGGTCTCATGCTCTGGAAACGCTTGCGTTCAGCAACTGCAACCTTCGACTGGATCGACTTTGACGGCGAGTTTGATAGATACCGGAACAGTTGGACCTTCGAATCCGATGCCAGCATCCTCCACGGCGGGCGGTATCGCGAGCGCTAATACGGGCGGTCTTGACACTTTGCCCCCAGTTGTGTGTGTCCCCTCGACCGTGCCGGCGACGGCTACAGTCCCGGGCCCAGCCGCACCCGATGTCAGCTCGCTGCCATGCCAGCCGAGTGGCTTTGCAACCCAGGCAGCGGGGTCTACGGAACACAGGCAGAGGGCAACCAAAGTTATTCAGAAACCATGGCACAAAATTTGGCTTGTGAAGGGAGCAAGGGCTGACCTGAACATGTGGATGGTATTCCTGGAAAGCTTCAATGGGAAAACAATTATCCCAGATCAGTTTTGGGTATTGGACTCGGACTTACAACTATTCACGGATGCAAGCGCAAGCATTGGCTTTGGGGGCTGTTTTGCTGGTCAGTGGTTCCAGGATAAGTGGCCCCAGTCTATTCTCCGCAATGCACGGTCCATAGCGTGGCTCGAATTCTTCCCGGTAGANCGGTGCGAAAACAGGCCGGCTCTGATAACATTTGCCATTATGCAGATGATTTTCTGTTTGTAGGGGGGGCTAATTCAGTCGGTGGGTCATGTCAAAAAGTCCTGGATTGTTTCAGAGCAGTGTGTAAGAATTTGGGTGTCCCACTTGCAGAAGAGAAAACAATTGGGCCAACCACATGTTTGACATTCCTTGGGCTGGAGATAAATTCAATTACTCAAACCGTATCAGTCCCAAATGACAAAATTATAGCCATCTCTGGGAAGATCACTAGTGTACTCCAAGGGGAAAAAGTCACTTTGAAAACGCTTCAATCTCTCATAGGCTCACTGTCATTCATTTGTCGAGCGGTGACCCCCGGTCGTGCATTTTTACGCCGCCTGATCGACTTAACGAAAGGTATTCAGAAACCATGGCACAAAATTTGGCTTGCGAAGGGAGCAAGGGCTGACCTGAACATGTGGATGGTATTCCTGGAAAGCTTCAATGGGAAAACAATTATCCC